AGGGAATTTGGAACCCCCATTGCCCCCCCCCTTTTTTCCCCCCCCCCCCCCCCCCCCCCCCCTTTGGGGCCCCTTTCCCTTTCGCCCCCCCACCCCCCCCCCCCCCCCCCCCGAGGTCAGCTACAACAGCCACGCACGTCACAAAGTCCCCCACCCCAGTCCCAATCATCTCTATCTGGAAGGTGCCTACCCACGTCTGCCTACACCTCGCATGCGCCCCGCCCCCGTTAGAATCGCTCCATCTCCGCTTCCTCCAACCGCACTCTAGTGCTGTAAACAAGGCACGCACAGCGCATTCCTCCTCCAATGCGCAAACCTCCCCTCCTCACAAGATGCAACTCAGCTACCTTATGATTCAGCACCGAATTGATGTATCCCCCCCCGTTACGAAGCTTTGTAAATCATCCTACAGTACTCACACTTGAAACCAGAAACTAGCAGTTTCTGGTTTCAAGTGTGAGAGTGTGTCTTAAAGAGTACGCATCACATGTACAGTAATAATGAATATGTGTTGCTCATCACTTCTATGTACTCTGGCCCTCTTCTCATACCTCATCCAAGGCTATCACCTGTTGCCAATGTCTACGTCCATCCCCTTTTTTGCCGCCGCATTAGACTCTGTCGAGTTTCTTCTCTTCCCCTTTCTTCTCTTCCCCGCTTCGCCTCCCACAAAGGAAACGACATGTACGCGTTGGCTCCTATGTTTCCGAACTATGCCACCCACGTCACTGCTCATTTGTCTCAAGGTTTACAGCAAATGCACACGCATTTTTGATATTCAATTCTTCCGCTTTCGTCAAGCGAGTGGCTGCCGGGCACGCGTTGTATGCGTTGTCAACCTGCCTTTCTCAGCAGTTGCCAGCCTGTGCACAAACCCGACCACCCTTCGTCTCCGTGCCGCCTTCTGTTGAGACATCTCCACATCCGCATCAATTTGTACGCAATTTGTACGCCCCCGCAGACGCTTTCGCTTTCGCGTGCGGTAGCCGTTCTGCCAATCCCCCACCGCCCAACCTGCGCATTGCCGTAACCCCTACAACTTCGCTGCGCACATTGAAACCGATTTTTACATTTGATCTGACGCACCGCCTTAAAATATCCCTTGTGAGGCAGCACGCCCACTCGGCTATCTACAACGCTTGCGATCGTACACAGACGACCAGGCGCACCCTTCGACAGTATCATGGTTTGTGTACTAAATTAGTGATGTCATCGAATGGCGCACAGACGATATTCGCAATCTGTTACGCATCCGTGCCCCTTTTGTTCATTTAACATACAGTACTTGCGCACATAACGGTACCCTTTTGTAAGGGTACCGTACTTACAAAGGTGTACAATATGTACTATAAAGCATTCGCGAAGGTTGTGTCTTCCTTTCAATGGTGGGTCCATACTATGCATTCCATACAGTGCAGTGGTGTCGTGTTGGCTGCGGAATGATACAATAAAGGCACTGGTGTTGTAATGGTAGTGACAGAGCTCTTTCAGTATCCTGTATTGCACTTACCGTACTGCACTACTGCACAGTATGCATAAATAGAAAAAGGAAAGAACTCTCCGTGTTGCAGTCTTCTTCTGAAGGCGCGAGCGATGGTGACAGCACACAAGCATACTGCTAGGGCCGCCTCCTCCTGGCACGCTGCCTCTACCGTAACTTACCTTCGAAGCTGGATAGATGCTCAATCAACAGTACCTTGGTTTGGTAACAGTACGGTAGACCATTACGTTAGCATTCCCGAAACACAGCACATTGTACTCTATCTCCGACTTTCCATGCACCCACCTCAGAAAGAAAACACGCAGAGATAGAAAACCAGAAGACAAATGCTCACAGAGCGCAACGCTTTGTTGCCGGTTATACAAAAGAACCGGGACTGTTTTACAGATTACGACTTCGTCAAAAATGGCGGACACGATGCGGCGAAAGCAGCAACACCTGTCGTTTCCAACTTTGCTACCGCCGATATGCTACACTCGCGTTTGACATAATTGTGGTCTTTCGATGCGACCGCTTCCCCCTTCTGGGGGTTCCGGCGTGCAGCGCTTGCTGTTGTACTGTATCTGACTGTGCAGCTTCAGACCCACAACCAATGGCGGCCGGCACGTCTCGCTGTTGCTGGGCTGATGGCGGCGGTCTCGGAAACCAAGCGGACGGGCCGCCGCCTTGTTCGGGCGAGCTGGCCATGTTGGCATCGGCAAGCGTCGGAAATGCGGCACGGTCGGGGGGAGATTCCGCCATCGACCTGCCCAACGAAGGGAAGAGACCCATTTTCGACGTGACGGACGAGTAGCTTGACACTTCGGACGCATCATGCGTGGAGGCAGACGCAGAAGCCGAAGCTCCACCCGAAGCGACAGATATCGGCGCAGCAGCAAGGTCATTTTCATGAAGCATATGATCAAGGACAGGGGGCGTAAGTTCTTCACCATGCTGCTGCACCGGGGCCTTGGGGACAACGCGCAGGGCCGGGAAGCTTTTGATATCCTGACTATCAATCTTCTCCGGGCTCTGCGGGCGCCTCGTCAGCGACCTGCCCTCGGAGCAAAAGTACGAATGCAATGACTCTGTCTTCTTCCTCTCGATGCGGATGCTCTCCCTCCGGTCCTTGGTCTGCTTCCTCTTCCTGCTGGTTTTCCTGGCCTTGAGCTCTGCGCCGTGAAGCTCCAAGGTCTTGGGCGAGAGTAAGTGGTTGATATCAAGCTCGACAAATGCAAACTCACAGCCGTCCGGCAGATGGTCCAGAAAGCGATACTTCCTTCTCAGCGCGTCGTCCATGGTATATCGCTCCAGCTGCAGCACGACTCCACGCACGCGTGGCGGTGCGTTGGCAAACTCTGCGCAAAACTCGGCGGACAAGCAGCGGTGGTTGACCGGGTGCAGGAAGACGTTTTGCGTATCCTTTGCTTGATAAAACAGGCGCGTCTCCCCGCGCTGCGGCTCCCCCATCTCGACGGTGCTGCGCATATGGCGGCGCGTCAGGACCTCCGCGCGGCGCTCCTGCACGTCCTCCACAGCGACTGCAACAACAGCAGCCACGGCGGGGTCATCCGTCGACACGGCGGCCAGGCGCGCGAGCTCGTCGTCGATGAGGCTGATGAAAAAGCGCTCGTCCGCGACGCCAAGACGGGCATACATCCCCTCCTCCGTAACCTTTGGGACGACTGGCGGGTCCTGTAGCTCCCTAACGATGCAGCTCCCCCTCTCCCGTGCCACGAGGGCCATCTCGAACGGGGCGGCAACCTGGACATTCCCCCCTCCGGAGAAGGCGCACATGCGGAGGTCTCCCCTCGACACGCTCATACTACACATGGGACATTTCGCAAAATCGTTCTTCCCGAGGCTCCCGCCCGCATAGAACAGGCACTGAAGAATGCAGACGAAGTCGAAGACGTGTCCGCAGGGTGTGACGCGCGGGCAGGCGAGGGGGTGCAGACAGACGGGGCAGTCCGCGGCGGCCTG